CACATATATGTAAGATAGAACATCGAAGGGCTTCCTACTTAGGGAGAGAGAGAAAATACCTGATGATGAAAGTAATAATTTTATTTTCCTTGTGAGCCAATGTTTTTTTTTGTCCTTTAAGATATTTCAACAAAACTGAGGTGATTTAGGATCAGTTATTGTTTTATTTTGTTTGTTTTTTTTGTTTAACTGCCATGCATTACATGGAAATTTATAATAAAATATTAATAATTTAAAATTTAAAAAAAATTCTTTAAGAAGTTATTAACCTGTTTGCTACAAAGTATATTTTTAACATTATAACTCTTCTGTTGGATTTTCTGTTAAAAAAAGAAAATTATGATAATAGTCTTTATTTCATGTTTAAAACAGTTTTTCATATAAATCCACTAATATATATATAACAAAATATGAGTGAATATGATGCATAAATTCTATATAGATTAATGGTGGTTCTTCTTCAGAGTAATATTTTTACTGAAAATATATATATATATATATATATATATATATATATATAGATGGATGGATTAAAGTCATCAGTAAATAAATCACTGTTATTGATGAAAATTTATTTATTTCTCTATTGGATCATTTTAATTTAAGTCATGACAATTATGCGTGAAAAATAATATCGCCCAAATGTCCACCAAGGCTTCGGTGGCACACCTCCACTTGATGATCAAAATTTTTGATGATGTCTCTGCATAGTTACTCCTCAGTCTCACCAATATGTCTTATTATCTCATCCTTCAGCTGTTGAATTGTTGTTGGCTTGTTGGCATAGACCTTACTTTTGAGATGACCCCAAAAGAAGTCTAAATGTGTCAAGTTGCACAATCATGGTGGCCAATTGACTTCACTGTTTCGAGAGATGATGCGACCTGGGAACTTCTCATTGCATTTCTGTTTGAATGTCTATTTTTGTAATAGGCTTCGATAACTTTATTGTTAATCTTTCCATGGTTGAAATTGCCAATGACTTCACTTGTCAAATCTGAAAGAAAAAGAAAAAAAAATCATTTGACGCTTAAACTTAATTCACATTTAAAATTGGTTCAATTGCACACTCTTTAGATATATATGATTTTTGTTTGGGGTTCACTATTTGCCCATAGCTAGAGCCCTAACAGGAGGTACCACCCTGGGTCAGAGTGAACCTGAGAACAACAGCAATTAAGAGATGGTTCCATGTTCCTCAAAACCTCCAATCTCCCAATCAGAGGCCTTGCTGTTGGATGTACTTTATCATCATATCCAGCTGAATAGCTCAAAGGATTTTTCAGTGATTCTTACGACAAATGGTATCAAGATGGTTAGACGTTTTGTCTGAAAACCAGGAAAAAAGAATCTCAATTACTTTAGTGGTTGTTTTTTTTTTTTTTTTTTTGGGATGGACAATATGCTGTTACGCAATTTGGACAATTTTACTGTTACACTCGGTATATACTAGTATATGTATGTCTGTGTATGTATGTATGTATGTATGTATATATATATATATATATATATATATATATATATATGTTAGTGATGGGATGATACTAATATTTTTACCAATTCTGATATGAGTCTGATAACTATCATGATTAAAATTAATTATTTTCAAGCCCTATAGTTGGTTTTGGAAACTTAATGAACAAAGTACATTTATTAATAAAACATTTAGTACAAAAATGAATACTAAAGCTTATGAAATAAAGTTAAATAGCCTTTAATTTAAAAAAAATGGCTAAGTTTAAACAATAAAGAGAACAATTTCTTTACATAAATCACTTAATTACCTCATGACAGTTAACATATTGCTTTACTTTGTTTATCATCTGGAATCTTAATTTCCAGACTACACTTTTCTGCTTGGCATTGGATACACTTGCCATCATTGGAGTCTGAAAATAATAAACAACAGTTAAAATTTAAATGTTTCACTGTTAGATTAAAAAAATGTTTCTAGTTTTCTAATGTGTGTAATCTGTAAAGATTGAACTAATAATGGTTGGCTATTAATTGTAAATTAAAACAGGATCTATTTTTTGTTCACCTTTTTTAAGTTTTAACAAGCAAAGCCACCCATGTATGGAGTTTTTCAATGAATGGGACAAATTTAGGAGTGACAGCATGCACTTCAAAAATAAGAGAAACCCTTTTATTTATATATATATCTATATATAAAATATTGCAACAATAATACCTTTACTGAAAAAATAAATTTCTCACAACTAATAATTTCTAAAAAGAATCAAAATGTGTTTTATTTTTGTTAAAAAAAAAAAAGTAAGTAAAAGTGTAACTACAGTAAGAACATATCCTTTGATATTTTTTTTTTTTTTTTAAGAGATGTAAGCAATTTTAATAAATTTTAAAAAATATTAGGAAGTTGAAAGCTAAATAATGCTGATATCCAACTTGATCATTTTATAAGGTATGAAAAGCATTAAAATAAAAATAAGATTAAAAATTTTTAAGCTCTTCATAATATCCTTATGAAGAGCTTAAAAAC